CGATTAGTTGGTACAATCGATTTTTAATCGATTGCTCAAAAAAAATTTAGCCAACTAATCGATTGCATTTTTTGGTCTAATTTGGAACACTACACAGATGTACCCCTTCTAATCAACTTCAATTGACTGGTCTTAGACATTGGCAGTTTCATGAAGCCTATAATAAATCTTAGCTTTGGGCCCAAATGAACCACCACCTGCTAGCAGGCTTCCATATTATAATTTGACTATTCCAAGCAAACCATTTCTAGTAGATATTGAAATATCGAATAGAAGCCAGGTTTTTTTTTTCTCATCCTGAGGAAAAGAAAAGAAAAATAAAATAAATCTATAAACAAAATAAAATACAAGCTTGACTGTCACTTACAGTATTATAGATACCAATACTTCCATTGACAAGATCAATGTCGCAATACCAGGTTGCTCTGTCATTAGGTACAATGGGGTTGATATCATAAACAGTCAAGTTCAAACTATCAGGGATATATTTAACAAGAATAGTCTGATGAACTTCATCTATAGGCATGTTGGACAACAAAACAATAAACTTTGTAGTAAATAAAATAACTCTTTGGAAAAATAATTTGATTACTTTTTATAATATTATTGGCATTCCATATTAAGTTATGAATTTGTTTATATCATAAGACCAAAACAAAAATCAAATGATTTATACTAAGACAATAGAATTTGATTTACATTATATGAAAAAGTGTAAGGCGCAGTAAGTGCAGTAATCAGCCAAATTTGGGACATAAGAACTCGGCATTCAAGCTAGATCCTCGAAACATATATCCTAAAGATCGGCCAAAATTATGGCATAATATTAGCCAAAATCAATCACGAATTTACTGCGCATTTTGAAAGACAACCAAATAGGTGCAAAGGGTAAGTACTCCAATATAGAATCCAGTACCCAATCAGGTGCAGAAGCTTAACACCTTGATATAAAACTAGGTATCCAAACAGCTACAGAAGGTTGACAATAGCATTATAAAATTTAGCATATAAATGACTCAGAAACAAGAAGAAAAGTATAGTATTTAGATTATATATGTGTAGTAACTAGATTATATTGTGGTAATAAAAAGTATATTAGCATAAAAAAGATGAATATCAAGAAAGACTTAAAAACATAACTAGAATGTAAAAGTGATTTAAGAAATAATAAAATGTTAGATTATATGTGGTATTTAGACCACATCATTTAGATCATATGTGGTAATTAAATTATATTATTTAGATCAGTGTTGTATATAGACACTGTTCACATGTATTACTTGGATATTGGACAATGTCCAAATATGTCTGTGTCCGTGTCTGCCATATGTCCAAAAATATAAATTGTTATTGGACATCATCTACGTGATATATGGCGGACACTGGACATTGTCCATGGACATATCTACAGCTATATGTCCAAAAAATATAGATTGTCATCCGCAATATATAGCGGACACCAGACAATGTTCACACAGACATGTCCAATTTTGTAAACCGTTATCACTTGTAAAAAAAACTGTCAACCACCTGTTTCTACTAATGCCGCTTATATTTATTCGCTTACTGTAAATATGTATGTATATACAAGACCCAGGTCTATTTATTCTACCTATTTTTATATAAACCCGGGTCTGGTACGCGTTGAAAGATTGTGAAAAGAAAATGCATATATGCATTGTACAAGCAATTATTAATGATTTCATAGTTCGTACCTGAGGCTTAATTCATGGGTCTATTATTTTGAGAGATCCTACATATGCACTTCTACACTTTTATGGTACTACTTTCTATTTAACAAGTACATGCTTAGATTTTAGAATCATTAAAAAAACCAATAAAATATCTTTTAAAAGTTAACAATTTTGGCATATTGATATATAACCATGTAAAGTTTATTTTTTTATTCGCAGACCGATTTTACAAACAAAAAAAATTAACTGACTGCTAAGATATTTGAAATCTTGCCAAAAAAATCAGGAATTCTTGTTTTTCTTGCATTTTACCTTGCATAATACAGGTATAAAAGAAATCTATTTCATTGTTGATGCCGAAATTCAAGAATTTCTGATTTTCGCACGAAAACGCCCATTTACTTAATGCTACAGTCAGACCTCTATATTTATAAATGCACTACTATGTAAATTCTCTCTAAATAAACGCTCTGGCATGGTCCCAAATATATAGAAACATAGTAAAAATTCCCTATATAAATGTACACCCTCTCTAAATGAACATTTTTAAAAATTTGTCCTATGGTCCCGAGGGGGTGCAATTATAGAGGTTTGACTGTATTTGGAATTATCTCAAAGGTACTTTAAACGGATAAATTAGTTATCCCGATCATTTGATTAAAATCAGCAAATTAGGGAACTGGAGGTATATATGTATCACATTACCAAATATGAGACCTTCAGGCTATCACTATTATTAAGATAAAAACTCATTTCGGCACCATCTATAAAGCCACGA